ATACAAAATTATAAAATGTACCACACAAAATTATCACAGATAATCTTATTAGACTTCCATCAGCACCTCTGATAATCCTCCGTCCTACATAACTTCTTATGCATTTCCTAACTTAATACTGCCTTTATTTTTCTTAACCTATCTTCTCTCCTTTTCCATTTTAACACTATTTCCATTAATACTCCTCACAGAACTTCTTGCAAACCTACAAACGTCGTCTGGTCATCACAAATACTCTTCAGATAGTCAGTAAATTTACTCCAGTCTTCGGTAAACTTCTGGTCCCGCCGGTTTCGGATCCTTCCTGTTAATTTGTCGAGTTCTGCATGGTCCATTAATTTCTCCCTCCATTCTTCCATCGTTGGTAATTCTTCTTGCTTCTGAGAGGAAGGGGTATGTTCTACCTCTGGCCCTGAGCACCAGGTGCTGGGAATCACAAGTGGGGAGTGTGCTGTTGCACTCAGATCCTGCATTTTGTCTTCGAGCTGACATTTGGTTGGCCATTGGACCTGATCCAGCAAGACATTTCTTATATTCTTAGATGAAATGGGAATATGCTAAGGGTATGTGTAATGGTTCTAGGGGATGCTCGTGCGTAAGCCGGTGCAAACACCTGGCTGGATTGCCTGAGTGAACCTTTTCTGTCCGGACAGCCACTCACCCGTGGCTGTCTCAGTCGCTGGCAGAATCCGTCAGTGGGCGTTTCTTAAACTTCTTCCAGCAAAGAAGCTCTTTGACGCCTAGTCTCCTCCTACTTTCTCTGTGTGAAAGCCTTCTGCGCAAGGAGGGCGTAGGCAGTGGAGGACCCCTACTCTCCCCGCTGGTCCCCGGCAAGGAGTCATGGGACCGCCTCGCCGCTTCCCTCATCTGCCCCCCTTCTCCACTGGTGCTACGCTGATTCTCTTCTCCAGAAGATGGGCTGCCTCTCCAAATCCCGGGACGCTCTCCGGAATCCCTCTGGATTTTGCTCTCTCCCTCCGGCACTGATGGCAGTCCCCTGACAGTATGCATAGGACCCCAGTTTAATCGTTGGTCTGTATAAGTGTGTTTTTAAAAACCTGGTCTGTTTCTGAGTTGCTCTGTGCTCTCTTCACTTTGATTTGTATATTTGTATTCTGAAATGAAACTGTGTTTCCAATTCAGTATAATGGGGTGTGTGTGTGTAAACATGGCTATAAGATTTTTCCTTTTGGCCAAAGTGGATGAAATTAGCAGACAAAGGAGCCCCTCCAGGATGGATCAAGTCGCCAAATTGCAGACAAATAGTTCTAGGGGGAAGTAAAGGGGATTCACTTTCCTACACAACCCCTTACAAAGGGCAAGGAGTGGGGTGGTGATTTCTCCCTTACTTGTCTTAAAATAATTAAGAGGTGGTCAAGTGCTGTGTGTTCTTGCTTTGGCAAAATGCACTGAGCCCACCCCACTCCCCTTTGTATTCCTCAGCAATATCTGAAATTAATTCCTTCTTGACTGCACACATTCATTCTTTACAGTGCAGAATCCAAATGTTGGTTGTTATTTCAAATCACGTATAGAATTCGAGATCGGCTGCTGGCAAGTGTGTATGTTTTTGGATGCAAGGTTAGTTTTTCAATTACGTTTGCACAAGCTAAGCTTGAGCAATGGGACGCTCAAATGTGAGAGCTGCAATCATGATCAAATCCAAGCTGCCTTTCGGATTTAAATAATGAGAATGGGGCATGCCAGCTAATGCTGCACAGCTCTGCCGCAGTGCTGGGCACGTTTACTGGGGAGAGGATCAGATTGTTCCTCAAGATACAAGAAAGACTGAGTAAGACAGCTGGATACAGGCTGGTTTTAGTGACCTGAGTTGGCATTTCCATGCATACATACGTCATTTTATTTGTATGCCACCGTTCCATAGTTCAAACCATGCTCAAGGTGGCTTACAGCATGAAAAAATACTGTATTTTTCGCTCTATAGGACACACCCGACCATAGGAAGCACCTTGTTTTAGAGGGGGAGAACAAGAAAAAAAAATCTCCCCCTCTCTGCACAGCGCTCCTTCAGTGAAGCGGCAGGAGAAACGGAGCCCCTTCCATTTCTCCTTCTGCTTAGCTGAAGGGGCGCTGCGCCTTAGCTGAAGGGGCACCTACCCTTCAGCGAAAGGAACCCAAAGCCTCCAGAGGCTTCAGACGGCTATCTTTGAAGCCTGGAGAGTGAGAGGGGTCGGTGCGCACCTCCAGGCTTCAGTGAAGGCAACCCGAAGCCTCCGGAGCGTGGCGGGAGCGCTCCCACTGCACTTTGGAGGCTTTGTGTTGCTATCGCTGAAGCCAAGGAGCCTGCATTCGCTCCATAAGACGCACACACATTTCCCCTTAATTTTTGGAGGGGGAAATGTGCGTCTTATAGAGCGGAAAATATGGTACATAACTGTAACATAACAGAAGTATTCAAAACAACAACAATAACAACAACAAAAGGTATACAACCAAATTAGACTATTTCCACATAGATCACAAGAAGATCTAAAATAAAAATACAAAAAATTAATATCAAGACAGCAACATTACCCCCCTGAAAACCTCATACCTCAGCTCTAGAGTCTGTTTAGCAGCCTCAGCTTTTGTAACTAGGGTCCTGTCCTTCCTGGCCAGGTGGGAAAAAAAGCCTGCAAGGTCTTCCAGAACTCACAGCCAAGATGACCTCTGGACTCTTCAGCAGTGTGGCCCTCAATGCTTCACTATCTGGCCCTTGGTCTACCCACAAGCCACACCCCTTACCTGCCTGCTCTGTGCCCTTCCCAAGTGCTTTTGCCTGGGCTGGGATATGTCACTGAACTGTGATCAAGTCTCTGGGTTGCCTTAATGGAGGTGTGTGTGTGGCCGATGTGCAGGAACATGGAATAGAAACCTCAGACTTCTGTGTTGATGGATTTATTTGTTCTACACGCATTTATAGCCAGCCCTTCACCATGCAGTCCCAGGGCAGGTTACATTACGAGCCCCCCCAGATGCATTTTTATTGTGCATTCAAGATGATTTGTGCTCCTGGTGGTGTTGAGTCGGTCGTACGCGATTCTGCGTTCAATACTGCTTGAGCCTGCAGAGCTTTGAGGGCAGACATAGCGCTTCGTTTTCTGCCAGTCCATATCCCATAGCTTCCTGCTATAATTCTGCAGCTTTCCTGAACATAAGTGCTCTGGGAGGATTCTTTTTTTGGGGTTCTGCTTTTGTTGCGTGGCGAGTTTCTGCCTCCCCCATAGAATAAAGACATAGGAAACAAGAATTCAAGTTAATGGGTCAAATTAGGCCACAACTTTATTGATTACAGGAATTGAGCAGTATTGGCTTAGGCATTGGTCCTACTACTAACTGGCCTGGCCAGTGAGGGTTAACCACCAGTGGGAGGAGTCCTGCTGAGGCACGTCAACTAGGACCTCCCCCGGGGTCACTGCGTGGGGGAGTGCCGCGGGCCCACACCTCCATAGGCTTAGGACAAGGCCACGCCCCCCGGAATCCTTTACCGGACTACCCTTTATTTGGGAGAAGGTGATGGCGCTCCCTCTCCCCCTTCATCTGCATAACAATAGACTGTACCCCCACCAATGCCTACCGCCCATACCGTGGAGTTGTGACGGTGTGCTACGAGGTAGGCGAAAACCAAATGGCTGGAGCCAATCTACCAGTTGGAAAAATTCCTACCAGGTCCCTTGATGGTGACCAACCGAGGTTCATAGCAATGTCAGAGAACCTAGCCTAAAGGGTGGGAGGGGAGGGAAAACTGGGTCAGCTGTGGTGCGGGAAAGAGGGTGGTCCTCAGCTGCGCCAGACCTAAATAGGCGAGGCCACGCCCCCCGCGCCCGCTGATTGGCTGGGATGGGGTATGACATGGCCGAGGATTCCCTGCTATCGCGTGGGGCTGGAGCCAGCCCCCCGCGAGTGTGGGGAGGGGTGTGAAGCCCGCAACCCCACCTCCTCCCTAGCCCGGAAGTGGATTTGTAGTGCAAGATAGCGCAAGTTGCACAATCCATTTAAAAATCACAACGTTAAGAAGCCACAAGACTCTTTCTCTCTTCCTTTTGCTGCAAAAGAAAAAAGAACCACTCCATGTCACTTTAGCTGGAAAACCACATATCAATGTAATGAATTTTTTATTTATTTATTTATTGCATTAGCCGAGTGGCCATAGCATGATATACATTGAAATAACAACATAAAATGGGGGTGGGGAAGTAAAGGTAGACATCGTCCTGGGCGAATACTTAAAGAAAGTGAAAAAAAAAAAAAAAAAGCTGCTGAGGCTGGAGGAGGACCGTTAAAGGGTCCTTCAGCTCCTCAGATTAGTCCTAACTCGATTGTCCTTGTACAATAAGGCTACTTGGAACTTCGTTCGGTTGTGCGGCGTATCGACTGCATCTGTGGTGTTAAGGAAGAAGTTAGTGCCGCTTTCCTCTTCATCACACTAAGCAGGAAATTAGCTGTCATCTCAGTAATCCAACAATCAGAATCCTGCAAAAGAGGGACACTATCCAAGGCTGGATTGGGAGATGGAACTTATTCACGAGGGAGTTAAAACCGAGATCTTTCATCTGTCCAGTTGGGACAGAAGAGCATTACATGTTCCATAGTCTCCAGGGCCGTGTCATTACAGGAGAAAACAGTTGAGACGGGCACAGGTAAAAGCCCTTCGCTTAGTCTCCGAAGAAATTGTGAAGCAGTATAGAGGGATCCCTTCAGGGGGTGGAATAGCTAGGGCTAGGCCTGAACACGGTCCTCTTGCACAAGAAGCTGTGTTGGAGAAGTCAAGTTGCTGTAGTTTCTTTTAATTAGGGGTAGGGCCACCGGGCTGATACACTCTAAGTTAAGAACAGTTTTACAATTCAAATTGAGAAGAGAGCGGAATTTGAGGTTAATTATAGTTTTCCAAGGGGAATTATGGATATCTCTTAGGATCAGATTGGAAAAGCCACCTCTAATTCGAGCATCCGATGCTAATAGGTGGAGGGTGTAGGAAATGGCTCGGCTCCATGCTCTGCCTAGCAACTGAAGGCTGGGCGAACTCGAGTCGTGAGGGCTGCACCTGAGACACATCTCGGGACGCTGGAAAGAGATCTCAGAAACATATGAAGTGGACGATCCAGGTTACCTGATATTGCTGTAGTCCATACTTCACATCCATATAATAATTTAGGGACGACTTTGGCATTAAATATTTGGATTGCTGCTGGAAGGTGTTTGCCGCCCTTCTGGTGGTAAAATCGGACAATGGCGTTAGAGGTCGTGGTTGCAGCGAGAAAGGCAGATTGTAGATGGGTGGTCCAGGAGAGATTATAGGTGAATATTAATCCTAGATATTTAAAGGCTTTTACCTTTTCTAAGTAGCCACCTGTGATCTTAAGCGGCTCCAACTTGAGTTTGCGGGAACGAGTGAAGTGGAGGACTTTCGATTTTTTATAATTAATATTAAGAGCTTCCACCTTACAATAGGCGATAAATGCATTAACTGCATTTGCTAGATCCGCAGCTGTTCTGGATAAGATGACGGCATCATCAGCATAGAAAAGGGAAGCAACAGGGTGGCCTGCTAAGTGAGGAGGATACTTAGATGCTAGCTTCAAAGTGGAAATTGCATCATGAAGATAGAGATTAAACAGTAAAGGGGCCAAGAGGCAACCTTGTCGGACGCCCTTGGCCGTTGGAAATGGAGTAGTGGGGAGCCGTTTGGACTAGTTCGGACGCGAGCTGTGGTGTTTGAATAAAGGGAGATAATTAGGGAGAGAAGGTGCGGATCAATTCCCAGATGGGCAAGTTTGGACCATAATCTCTGCCTAGGAATGGAATCAAAGGCGGCCTCCAGGTCCATGAAAGCGGCAAATAGGTGGCCTTGCCTTGGAGCAGTGTATTTACTGGCAAGGTGAAAGAGAGTTAGACAATGGTCCATGGTTGACGCTGACTTTGGAAACCAATCTGTTCTAGCGGTAGAATGTTCCTCTCCTGGACCCATGAGAGAAGTTCCTCCAGTAAAACAGCGGCAAATATTTTCCCGGGATGGATAATAAGCTGATGGGGCGATAGTTCCTAGGGATGTTTGGCTGGCCGCCTTTGAAGATCGGAACTATTATAGCTTCTCTCCAGGAGTCGGGGATGTCTAGGGCGGAGGAGATAGCGGTGAATACAGGAGTCAGGTGTTCGCTCCACCAAAGAGGATCAGTCAGGAAAAGGTCCAACGGGACCATGTCTGGGCCGGGGCCTTATTCCTTTGCATTGACATTATGATGTTGAAAATGCGAGTTGAAGTAAAGTTTATTGAAGAAGTGGGACTAAGAGAGCAGGATCTGAGGTCCAATGGGGATTGAAGGAGATCTGTAAGATGGTTTGGAGAAGCGAAACTAGTTGAATAATAAGCAATCCATTCATCCTCGGAAATCTGGGTAGCTGGATTGAATGGTGCCGAAGGTCTAACTAGGCGCCAGAAGGTGCGGGAGTCATGCCTCTCTACAGCCGAACGAAGAGTGGACCAAGCCTCAAAGATGTACTGCTGTTTCTTGCAATGAATCATGTTTCTATATGTCCTTTTAATATCTATGAGCTTTGCACGGGTTTGGGGGTCGTTGGAAGATTTGATGATTCTGACCATTTTCCTAATTCGCCTTCTTAGGGCTTTACATTCCTTGTCAAACCAGGGCGATTCAGAGAAGAGGCGTTGGTAAGTAGGCGAGGTGGTGGTTATGTAAGTTGTGAGAAAGCATCAAGTAATTTCCGGTATTGGTCAGCGGGCAGGATTGGATCAAGGGAACTGCAGACATATCAAATGATTTTTGTATGTCCAGGGCGAGAGAGGAGCTGAGGCTTGTCCATTTCTTTGTTTTGTATACAGGGTGGCTTTGTACCATGGTTCTATAGTTTGAGGAGACTGGGAGTGGCTCTATTAGGTTTAACATTAGAGTCAATGGAAGGTGGTCACCACCAAAATATTCAGCCACTTCCATTTTTGTAGAAATTGAGAATAGCTCCAGCGTCAATAAAATGTAGTCGACAACACTGGTTCCCGGGAAGTGATGCACGTTAATTGCTGCGAGGACAAGGGAGTAATGTTACCATTTGCGATGCAGAGATCGCTTTCCATGGCCAGTTGGGCCATCAGCCTCCCCGACGCATTTGTTATAGGATCAAGAGAGCATCTGTTTCCCAGGGGCTGCAGGGATTGTCCAGGAGTGCTGCGGGATATTATATCATCGTCGTTGGGACCTATTCTTGCATTAAAGTCGCCTAAGAGGATTTGAGGGAGTCCTGGGTTAGTTGTTTGGAGATCATGGAGCCAAGACGAAAGTTCAGACCACCTTTCATTGCGGTCGAAATCATTAATTGCTGGGGGCAGATATACTGTAGTTATCAACCATGGGCTTTTGGTCTTTGGGAGATGAATCTTTATGGTGAGAAAGTAAGGGGAAGATTTAATTTCCTCGCAAATAGTGAGGGGTAAGCTGGTTGAAATAAGACAGGCGAGGCCAACTTAGGGGCGACCCTGTTGGTTAGTTTACGAGCACAGGAGCTAAAGGAGCAATAATTTGGGAGAACAATACTTTGTTGGGACCAGGTCTCTTGGAGGCATACAATGTCGAAAGAAGAGATGAGATTCATTGCTTCAGGATCCATTTGCTTTGTCGCCCAGCCGTTAACATTCCAGGAGACAATTTTAAGGCTCTGGGGTAGGTTGGGTGCGTCTTTCAAGGAAACAACTGCTTTTGCTTGATTTGTGAGTGAGGGTTGAGTCTGTTCGTATCTAATGATATCGGATTTCCAGGGAGATAGGGAGCCGGCTGGTGTTTGTCTCTGGTCTAATCTTTGTCAATTATTTCCCAAGGTGCTTTTAGGATTACTTTTTATGAGCCGGCCCATTGCTCTCCATACATGGCAAACCAGCCAAATGTTCTATAGTTTCGGCTGTTAACTGTTGAATACTGACATTAGTGGTCACCGGGCCTTTGAAGTGTGTTATCTCTTTCCGTAGGTGTTTTTCCGGAACCTGATTGTGGCCTAATTCCGCCTCATCTAGATACCTCAGCTTGTCCCAAGCGCCTGGTGAATTCACCTTCGGGATGGTTCTCTTTATTGGAGGTGGTGTAGTGTTCTCTTCAGTGTGCTGGGCTTCCTTAATTGGGAGTAAATTAATCTCAGCCATTGTCTGAAGGTAACATGGCCGACAGGCCGCTGGGTTTGGTTCTTGTGTAGGGTTCAAATTATAGGAAGTCTGGTCCTTTTTAAGGGCGTCCATATTGATTTCCTTGTTTGTATCTCTCCCAGCCAGCTTAATTCTTAACATATCCAATCTTTCTAATATTTCAGCTTGTATTGGAGATGGAAAATGGCGAAATTGCCTAATTAAGGTATTTTCTTCCGTGGAAAAAAGATCCTCATCTTCATTCTCTTGAAGTTGCAGGTCTTGCAGGTGGGCATCTTTCCTTTTAATTTTTGAAGCTCTGCTTCTGGAGACCAGGCCGGGTTTTGGGAGGTTGTTTCTCCTTACTAGGGTTTGCGTGCTTGGCTTCCAGAAGGGGGTTCGGTGGTGCCTTGTTTTCAAAAAATCTGAGAATTTTTATCTGGGCCTTTAAGAATATATATCTTGATCTGTAGATAAACTTGGCCAGGTTCTGGTCTCTAAATGTGATCATTGCTCTCATTGAACAACCATCATGATGCAAATAATCTACAGAAATAATATCATATGGCTTTACTGCTCCTGGCAATATATCATTCAGAACGTTCAAGGAGCTCATTCTTCGTTCTTTCCCTGTAAGGAAGCCCTTTGATTTTGGGAAGTTTGTAAATACTAATATTGAGGGATTTAAAATCAGGTTCCAACATCTTGCCTGAATAAAGGTTTGCCCATCTTGTGTAGTGTTGTCATCGCGATTGGGCATTGCATCGTCCCCATTTCCCGATTTGCTAAGCGGTTTGCTGCCTTCATTGTTAGGGACCACTTCTCCCCAGAATCTGGCTCACTGAGTGAACTGTTACCAGAACTCTGGGACGTTGCTTCCGTCCTCCCACTTAGTTCTGAGTTCTGGTTCAGAGATGCCACCTTAGCCATTAGCTTTAGCGATGGCTTCTTTTCCCCTTCCTGCCATTCTCTTTTTTATCTCGTGCAGCAGATTTATTTGAGTCCAATGGGAGTAGATTAAATAATTTCTGCCATTGTTTATGTCGGCTTATCTTTATTTTCCTTGTTGTTTTAATGTTCTTAGTTTTCTTTTCCCGGACTTTTGATCTATTTTTTTGCAATTTCTTGGTTGTTACTGCTTGTCTCATCTTCACTAGTTCATCTGGGTTATGCACAAGTTCATCTGGTTTATGCACTTGGGGTGCATCGGTTGCTGTTGTCTCTTTTGGTTGGGGAATAAAATTTTCCACAAGGGTCAGCAATAACCCATTTGTTATTGTCAGGTAATTTTTTATGTTGGAAAGGTCTATATTTATATCTTGGAAATGGGCCTGAAGATGGCCATCACTCAGTTCAGTTTGAGTATATTTGGAAGTGGGCGCCTGGTCTTGGTGGCATGTTGTTAATTCTGCCAGGGGCCGCTGGTTATAGGTGACAGAAATATTTTCCACAGGTTTCTCAGCTAGAACTAGCTCTTGCGCCAGGCTTCTTGGGGAATTTGTGTTTCCAGAGTTGTGTTGAAGCTCTTTGAAGTAATGTGACCGGTCAAGGTAAGTAAGGGGAGAGGAGTGACTTCGTCAATAATTGGTTCAATTTGTTCACTCATGCATTCCTCCCTCTTGGGGAAGTAATTTATAATTTTACTTTGTCTCTTTCCAAGTCCCGGGGGGCTAAGTGGCGTATCTGGCAAGATACCCAACTCCTTACACAACTTTCTAGTGAGGACCATGTTGGATAGTTGTCTTCCTATTAGAAAATCAGTTGTCCCCAGGTGTTTCTGCCTAAATTAGCAGGGCCAATGGATGAGTAGGGATGAATCTGCAGCTTTCTCCTGCTTAGCTCATCAGCGAGCGCTGGCTCTCAGTATGTTTCCCTGGTGGAGCCCGAGCCCTCTCCTTTCCAGTGACGGGGAGTCCCTTCACGGCAGGGGAGTCAGCCAGACCTCTTCCCTTCCCCACTCACTCGTCTCAGAAGATTACTCAGCTCCTCAGCACCAAATGCACAGCGGGGGGTGCGGCAAGGCAGCAAGGCTGAAGCACGAAGCAGGTAATAAAACAATAAAGCAATAAAAGCCCGGAGGGGTTAAAAGAAACTACTTAGAACTACTTGAAGCTTAGTCTAAAAACAATAAAACAATAAAAACCCAGAGGGGGGTTAAGATAACTACTTAAAACTTAATCTAAAATCTGTAATGAATAAAGTCACCTGATGTCACCCTGGACACAACCCTTTGCCAGTGGAATCTGCTCCTGCCTCCGACAGTGAGGCATCAAATGTGCAGAATCAAAGATAGGGAGGGACCAGCTATACAGGCAGTGCCTGACCTGTCTCATAGCCTGTTCAGTTCAGGAGCTTCCTGCTCCATAGATTGCTGAACACTGGCTCAGAATCACAGCGCTTGCATGGAGCTATCCGTTGCA